CGGCGCGCGAATCAGCTGTTTCGCGCCCGTGGCGGCTCGGGGTCTCCCCCTTCCTCCCAGGCTCTCAAACCTGGGAGGGCGGGGGAGACTCCAAGTGGCCGCGGCGCGGGCGCCGTTTCTCCCCCTCCCTCCCTCCCTCCTAGGCTTGAGAGTCTGGGGGGAGGAGGAGGCAGGGCTGGGGATTTGGGGAAGGGGCGGAGTTGAGGTGGGACTGGGGGTGGGGTAATTAAAGAATGGGGCATGGGGGGGTGGCCAAAATTGTTTTTGCTTTGGGCGGCAAAAATCCTGGAGCCGGCCCTGGACAGAATGAGGCCCCACACTGCTAACAGAGAGTCTCCCTTAGCTCAATGGCAGGGGTCTGTTACCATCTAAGTCCAAAGGGCCACAGTGACAGCTGTTATGTGCCTAGATTAATTATACTACTAATACATTTTACACTTGGGGGACAAGAAGGCTTGCATTTCCCTAGATAAAGGTTTCACCTGGTTTCCTTACCCCCTTTTCCTTCCCCTTGCTTTCGAGGCTGGGGAGTGCAAGGTCAATGGCAGAAGCATACCTGCTTCCCGACTGGTCAACACCCTTCTTGTCTGCTCCCAACTCCCTTCCTTTGGGTGGGCTTACCTGGGCCAAGGCTGCCTTCCCCATCACAACCGGCCTGTCCCTCCAGCCATAATGGAGGAGAAGCTATTTATAAAATAATCCCCGCCCCTGGGTGGGATTATGGTAATGGGGGGAGGGGGAGTTAGCCTATATATAGCTGAGAATTGGTGCTGCTGATTGGTTGGTTTTACATGCACTTGACTTTGATTGGAAGCTTTCTGGGGCAGGGTTCTCCTTTTGGTTGTGTTTGTATAGGGTTTTCCCACCCTTCCACCCCAGTATGTCTAAGCACCTGAAGGAATTCAGCCCAGCAATCGTCTGGGGTGGTAGGTCAGTCTCATTTTACAGATGGGGAAACTGAGGCCCAGAGCGGTTCCAGGAATGGCACCCCTGAGGTCACGCAATGAGTCAGTGGCAGAGCGGGCACTAGGACTCCCAGTGCTAGAGTCCAACCCCTACAGGGCTAGGCTAGCTTGGTGTAACAGACAGGAGAATCCAGCCCTCACTCCGTGGAACTTGCATTGCCCATCCTCCACCCCAGCTGCTCACATTTTCCTCTGTGGCACTGGTGCTTTATAACGTGTAAATCAGACCCACCTGGCAGCTGGCTTGCTGTGTTTAACCAGGAACCAGTCTGACCAGCACCAGCACTTGGCTTTTTCCCCACTCCCACTCTCCCAGGTCACCTTGGGTAAAGCAAATAGTTTACACTTATGGAAGCCCTCAAAGCAGGGCTAGAGCGCGGCCTCTCTGCATGGTTGGAGAACGTTAGCCTTGGGACAGGAGAGGCAGACAACACCATTCAGCTAGATAGCATAAAGGCTTCCCTTCCCCACAGCTGCCCAGCCAGAGCAAGCTAACACAGAGCCCCACCCCCTGGAGGGACCCCAAGGAGGGCACAATAACCCAGAAGCCAAGGGTATGGGGGAGGTGGTTGGTGCACGGCCTAGCAGAGAATGAGCAACGCTCCACTACACGGCTGTTCTGGGCAATGGGGCAGGCCAATGGATGCCCCAGGCCAGATCAGGATGCCCTTCCTTGCTCAGGCACCCTGGGCAGTGCGTACACCAGTGACTCCCCTACCAGCGCCCATCGAGGAAGGTCCTAGGTGCTGGCAGAAAGGATGCATGACCTGGCCTTAGAAAACAGGGCAAGAGTGCATTTCCTCTGATGACTCAGTTCTCAGTGCAGCCACAAAATCATGTCATGGCAGGGCTGCACTGCTATCCCGCTGCAGCACAGCTTGGCTTTGGGAACAGAGTTTTCATGCTTTAGACTCCCCTGCCATTGCGCTCTTGGCGAATCTCCATTAGCACTCAGCTATATAGGGCCTATGACATATAATTCAAGACAGAGTCTCTTCTGTTCTCATACCTATTGTGTCTGGCCTGGCAAAGGAGCGTTCACAGGTGGTGTAAAGCCAGCATAGCCAGTTCTTATGCCACCCCTCCCCAGTGTAGGCATGTGGCTGAAGCACTACTGCACTCTGGCTATTCTTGGCTGGCCGACAGTCCCTCTGAAAGGGTTGTCAGAGGGTGTAAATCGGAGCATCCCCTAGGTTGCTCTAACTGGCACCAGGGCCAAGCGGAAAATCAGGTTGCTACAACTGGCTTCCTGGTGGTCTCTTGAAGTGGCCAGGTCAGGTTGAGTGGATTCCCAGCTGCATCAGAGATCTGATCCTATGATTCCCAGCTAGCAAAAGGCAGCTAGCGATCTGTACTAGCCAGATCGTTACAATACTGATCAGCCATTACGCTGGCACTCTCTCTCTTTGAGGTTGTATCTGTGATGGGTTTGAGGTCAAGCAGTCTGATTTGGGAGGAGACTACAGAGAGCTCTAAAGGACTACTCCTGGGGGGAAAGCCCCTAATAAATCAATAAATACATAAGAGGATCAAATCCTGACACTTAGACTTTTGCTGCCTAGTCACTGGAAATATGCATTGCTCTAGCAGGAGTTGGAAAAACTCCACCAGCTTCAGTTTCACAGCTGGAACTACATTTTGGAAGCAAACATTAATTTCAGGCATCGCTCACCAAGACAACGTTCAGCACCACAGCCAACCCCACTCAATGGACACAAAGAGGCAAGTGACTCCCCGTCTGCACTTCCACAGCAATGGGCTGGTTTATTTGTTCAGAAAACTGATGGATTTCACCAGCAGTCAGTGGATAACGGGTCTGCAGAGGGGATCGCCTAGTTCGGGGATCTGCAGGGAGAGACGGAGCCTTTCAGCTCTAGGTCACTGGCTCAGTGAAGACACCCTCATTCCTTAATGTGCTGTAGGTGGGTGAATGCTGCAGCGTTCCTCGAATGGGTAAACCCTGCCACGACGCCGAGCGGGCGGGGGAGTCTGCAGATAGGTGAACCCTGCCACGACGCCGAGCGGGCGGGGGAATTCGTGGACAGGTGAACCCTGCCACGACGCCAAGCGGGCGGGGGAATTCGTGGACAGGTAAACCCTGCCACAACGCCGAGCGGGCGGGGGAGTCCGCG